TGGGTGGGTAGGTGGATGGGTGGATGGATATTTCCTTGTACTATGCAATCTAGAACCAATATAAGGAAACAACTACTACAAAATCGTTTTGGAAATACAAAAATAAAAATTCTTCTGTTTCATAGAATAGAAAGTAGTATTGAAATTTACTTACTCTAAATCTTCTGATGGTTTCCAGTTTTCATCTATCAAGGCTGTTAATGAGTTAAAATATGACTGATAGTAGCTCCACTGATCTGGACTAAGAAGAAAAAAAAACAAATAAAAAATGAGTATTAAAAAGTATTATCAATGATATGTATCAGAATCCTCATTTTACTATAACATGATTTCATAACATGACTATCACCATCCCATCCCATCACATCCCATAACATCCATCCCATTCCATCCCATTCCATTACATCCCACCCCATTGCATCCCATCCCATCCCAACCCATCACCTCACCTCCCATCCCATCCAAGCACATTTGACATTACCATCAATATCATTATAATCATCACCATCATCATCCCCACAACCATCACCACTACCACCACAGCCACTAATGCCATCACCATTGCCATCAAAGTTTCATTTAATAAAAACTCAGCAAAAGTGTCAAAATGCACTGCCCACATTAGAATATAAATGGGAATCCCATTTAAAACATCTAGACTTACACTTTTTCTATCAGTTTCTTGTAGGCAATATTTGCATCTGCCCATCTACTCATCTTCATTAGATAAAGTGCTTGTTTTTCTTCACGCTCTAGTGGATTACTAACTAGCTTTTCTTTGGCAATAGGATAAAAAAGAATTGTAAAATTACACATGTGAAAGGAAATTTCTTCAATAAAAGTCACCAAGATGACAGCTGATTCCCTAAAACTTTCTAAAAAACTCTAGCTCAGTAGGATTGGTCATAAATCTAATGCTGGTCATAAATCTAATGCACATTCAGATGAATGCAAAATGCACTATAATGACCAGCACTCCCAACAATCAACATCGTCATTATCATCATTATTAAGGCAACTTGGCTACGATTATTGCAATTTCCTACTCCAAACATTCTCTCTCTATTCCAAAAAAAGAACACTGCGTATGTACAATGTACAAACCTCCTAAGGGGCCTTTTAACACCTCTAATGCCTTGTCATACTTTTGTAAAGATTCTAAAATCATAAGGTACAAATGGACCTCTGGGGGGAAAAAATAACATGAAAGAATATAATTACATCAGGCCAAACAAAAAAATAAGTGTGTTTCCTGTTGCATTAGTAAGATAACTGGGGTCGGTAGGTCGGATCTTTTTTTACTGATACAACGGTGGAAATGAGCTTACTGGGAATCCTGTGGTGCATTTGGGAATGAAAAAAAATCTAGGGTTGGCAAAAATCGGCAAGAAAATTAGGGTCAGTCGCGTAACAGGAAACACACTTATTTTTTGTTTGGCCTCGATAACTCGATAACTGAGAAAACTTTCTTTGGTGGTTGGGAGCCCTGTGTGATAAAGGGGAGAGGAGGGAAAGAGGGCAATCTCTCTAGTCAGATTCATTGACACATCAAAGGTAACCCAACAAAGAAAAAACAAGACTGCCTCAACCCCCAAGAGTAAAGAGAAATGATGCCTGCAGAGAAGGGTATTTGCTTGATTTGTTTTTGATCGAAGTGAATAGAGTTATTATTAATACTATCATCATCATCATCATCATCATCATCATTATTATTCATCAAATGTGCAGTTCCAAAAATCCATACCCCCTCATGGAGGAATTTTTTTAAGACACCCCTACCCCACAGAAATACCAATTTTCTTCCATACAAACTCTGTAATTATTGTTCTTTCTCTGACCCCCCTACTCTTCGGAAATTCTAAATTCCTCTGTGGGGTGGGTATGGATGATTTCTGAAACTACACAATATGAGTATGCACAAAGACCTCTTTCATTAAGGAAAATCTTTTTCTCTCTCTTCCTTGCTTAGTATTATTCTTTTCTTTTTAGTAGTAACAAACTTCCATAAGGCAAAATAAACAAGAACTTTAAGTGTTTGTTACCTGCTTCAGCGTCAATCTTGCCTTCATTAACAAACTTTTCTATCATTCTTTCAGCTAATGGAAGCAGCATTGTTTTAGACAGCCGCTCATCATTACAGTGTATTGACTAGCGGGGAAAAAAGTATGGAGATTGAAGAGTGAAATAACCAAAGGTACAGACTTAATTTAAGTACTGAACTAATAATTGTCACTTTGACCAGCATTGTTGGGCCAGAAAAAAGGTAGGACTGAGCTAGCTAATTTGGTTGATGGTCATGACTGGCAACTGATCGGCCATTGTTTTAAAACACAAATGAAGACAATCTATTAGCAGCATATGTAGAGTCAATAACTTTACAGTACAAATCATATCGTAATGGTCATTAGCATTTAGTGGGTTGAATGGAGAGCACTAGCCCTCACCCCCTCCCCCCTCCCCTTGGCTTCCAGAATTGTCAAGTTTTACAAACATTAAAACATTAATGTTAAAAATAGTAAAGAAAGATAGACCTTAAAACACACTAACCTGCATTACAATGCTCATGACTGACCAGAAATAGTAGGGATTTTTGGGAAAAGCCTTGTATAAATTCATAGCAGCCTAAACAAGAACCAAGGCTACAAGTTAGTATTATTAAGGCAACAAAATATTATTCTGAGAATGACTACGATGCTATTTTTATCCACAGGAAGCCCAAGGACCCCACCAAGGATATTTACAATATATTATTTTTTTATTTGTTAATGACTATTGAAACTCCAGTGTATACGGGCTTAGCCTCAAATCCAGGAGTTGCTTGTTTTGTTATTCTAATTTCTACTTTTCTTTATCAACCTCAGAAGTGAGGCTAAGCATACACTTAAGGGCGGACCCAGGGGGGGCAAAGGGTGGCTGAAGCAGAAAAAAAAAACTGAAGAATTAGATGTTTTTTTTTTATTGTTAGCCCCCCCCCCCTAAAATTTTGGGTGAATCCGCCTTTGACACTGAAGTTTTAAGAGCCATCAATTGTTGATATCCCTCACTGTTTTGTGTTGATCTTTTTTGATTTTTTTTTTTTAAGTCATAAAAGCAAGGCTAATGAATCAGTATGATGCAAAACTATCCCAAACTGCTGACCTGTTGCTGTTTTTTGTAGTCAGATATCCTCACGTAAGCCATGAAGAGATGCGAGTGGAATTCTTCATTTGTTGGACACTGCTTTACTGCTGCATCATATATTTTTGCCACGCCTTCAGCTGCAATGACAATCAGGTAATTTTGTTTGCCCAATATTTTGTATTTCATTATCTAATGAGAATACTTCATTTTTATTTACTTTGACATTATATCTGATATCATACCCCCCTCCTTTCCTTCCCCCTCCATGTCACCCACACACACACAGAGCACCACCACCCCACTTCCTGCCAAGATTTTCTTAGAAATGAAGGAAATAGCACTTCTAGGATCATAAGATTAACTACTGTTTTATACATGACTACCCAGTTCTAAATCCTAGATCTGCTTCTATGTCTGAGAATAGCAAATTTAGGAATTCAAAGGCAATACCCCTCCAGATGGCTACGCCCAATAACAAATCCCCTTCCTGATGTCTATAGAAGGGATGGCCATAAATGTAATTAACAGGGTATAAGCATAACATATCAATCCTTGCACTCAGTCATAATTGCATTCTACTTAAAAAAATGAAGAAATCTTACGTTTTTGCAATTCTCTAAAACAGATAGTCATTGCTTGTAGGGTCGGTTCGTCACAAGGTTTCGCGCTCACAACTTCTTCCATTAGCGCTGCACATTCTGCTTGCCGTCCAGACCTTAGCAGGGCCAAAGACTTCAATACCTTAACAAAACAACAAAACAACACATCTAGAACAAACTGTAACAGCAAATGAAGACTTGAACCTACAGTTTAGATGCATACCTTTGCGCAATGCAGGACTTTTTGCTTCTTTAGTATTTTGTCTGCAAGCTGGATTGCTTGTTTGTTGTTCATTAAATCAAGAGCATCTTAAAGAGACAAAAAGGCGAGATTTCAGTACGTAGAGAATTGATAAGGAAGAGTGAATAAAGTAATATTACGTACCGTAAACAGGACGAAGCCGGCGTTCATTGACATCCACATGACGAGCGGCCATGTTGGCTGTCTTGCAGCACATGGGATAAGGGACACTTGGGGACACTCAATATCTACTCCACAACCCTAATCCAAGCACAATATGAATCGTGTCCCTCTTAAATTGGAGGAAAAAATAACACTTTTTGCCAACAATATCATTAGAATCAGCCTTCAAAGAGACGATAATATAGATTGATTTTATTTAAGAAATCTAAAATCATTTTTTAAAAGGTTTTTTTAAGTAGGGACGTAATATCGACATGACAAATTTGATAGCGCGTCAACGATAATTGTAGTCAGCGGCTCACGTCATTAAAACAAAATGGAGGACTGAAACACTAAATGAAGAGGGTACAATTTTATTTTTATTTTGTCGGATTTTTGGAATAAATATAGGCGAAATGGATTGTAAGGTAGAACAAGAAGAAGAACGGGAAGTACTTCGTTCTATTTACGAGGAAGACGAAAGATTCAAAGAGATAAATCCCACTACATTTCAGTACAAGTTTGGTGAAGATGGTCATTTCAAGTCATTCGTTTTAGAAATATCATGGACTGACAATTACCCCGAGAATGCTCCGAATATCAACATGGATGCCTTTTATAATAAGCACCTCCTTGATAAAGTCAAGGGAAACATCATATCAAGGTTATCGGAACAATGTGACTTAAATCTTGGATGTGCTATGACATACTCGTTGTTTGATTGGACAAATGAACATTGTGAAGAATTGACTGAAGAACAAGACGAGGCCCAGCAACCATTAGTACGTACCATTGATGGTTTTCGCGGCGACAATGTTGGAGGAACTTAACAAAAGAATTGTCAATGAATTATTTTATATCCTCCAACATGGCCGCCGTGTCTTTTGTTATTTAATTCTTTTGGGAATGGTTGAAAACCATCAATACTACGCTATTTCTTAGGCTATCCTCCCCCCCTTTATCCCACACTGATGTGCTACCTTTCTCATTGGAGGAGACGGGGGGGGGGGGGGTTTACCCCAGGGCCTAGTTGTTGGTCCATAGCCCAATTAGAGCTAAATCCAGAATAGATTAATGTGATTACTAAGTCTTCATAGAAGATCAATCCTAGTATTGGTGGTAAGGGACCATTCATAATGCATGGGGGACAATGTGGGTTTTGAGAGGGGGGCACATAAATATTACACTTTTAGGGTCACTATCAGTGTGATAAATACCAAAATAAAATTAGTAACTATATAATAAAATGAATAAAAGACCTTTTTCATGCTCCGCTCAGTAATAAAGCTCTTAGGAAGCGCCATCACCACTCAAGAAGTGTGAGAAGCACCAGCCTATGGCTTGTGCTTCTCCTTGCACTTCTTTTGTGTACATTAAAAGTCGCGTAGGCTTGAACCAGTTGATAACAGAGTTTTTTTGAATTGACTTGAATTGAGATTTTTTGTATACTGCGCAAATCGCTGCACCTTCCAAAACAAATGTTTAATTTTTGTACAATTTTCCTCCCCTTTTTTTCAAGGAAGCACCTGAGTCATCAATAGAAGAAAAAGATAACCAAGATAATGAACAGAAAGCCGAAAAAACAGAAAAGAAAGAAAAGCTAACAAAAAACCAAAAGAGAAAACTTGGGAACAGATTGAATGCTAAAGGAGAACTTGAAAGGGGATGGAACTGGGTTGATATTGTCAAGCATCTCAGTAAAACTAAACCTACTTAGCAAAAAAGACAAGCATAAATCAACAAAAAAATAGTTTAAATGCTACCGAATGGTAGATGAGAAATGTTTCAATGCATATTACTTAACTTTAGCCTTGAATATTTGCTGTTGAATATTCTGGAATACAATTCCTCCACTGCATAAAAAATCATCCTAAGACTGTTAACAGCCCATTTTTCTTCTCCAGACTCAGTATAAGCAACAAAGATGTTTCCTGAATGCCTTAATTGTCCTTTTTTCTTTTTTGACAAATGCTGCAAAATAATCATCATTTGCAAATTTGCAAAGGTATAGCCTTAGAATAACTAATTTATTTAGTATATACTCCTTCACCATATCCCTCCCTACCTGAGGGTTAAAACGTTATGCCAGGCTTAAGCATATAAATGAGATTATTCATAAATTAATACAGGGGTATGTATTCAAAAGTGGTCATAAATAGCCATGCAACTTTTGATATTCTGGTGTAGTGGTCAAGCGCAAAACATTTCAAGTCAAGGCTCTGGGGAAACAGTAATTGTAATTATTCTTCTGTTTCCCAGAAGTCTCCCCTCTGAGAGAAAATAAGTAAACAGTTTTAAGAATTTCTAATATGCAAGCTACCTAATAAGCCATAAGATAAAAACAATAAAAATTCATTTTATTCATTTAAAACTGATCAATTCTGCAAGTATGTCTTCAACTTTGTTCTCAGTATCTTGATGTTGGTAATCTATTTGATCAAATTTTTAATCATGAAATATGTGTATAAATTATATTAATATGTTCTTAAAACAAGTACATATATGTGTAAACGAATATCATATTATATTTCATACACACCTAAAATTTAATAAACCATCAATTATGCAATCTTAAAAGAAAAAAATAATTTACAGTTGAAAATAATGTATACCATGCCTGAGTCTTAAAGGCTAGAACTTAATAATCTATTAACTTATCTTTCACTTGTCTTCCTTTTTAAAGAACAGAATTACCCTAAAATTAGTTTGGAATTTTATTCATAAAATATCTTCTCAAATATCTTTATCTTAACTAATATTATAAATCACATGCAGGTTGATTTTCAGATTGATGTAGTGTAGAAAGTCTCAAAAACAGAACTATCTACATGTTAATATAAACATCACCTCCTGAAGCACCAGCTTCCATACCTAAAGAAACAACACCACTGTCTGGATGATCTAGAGGACAATCAGAATCTGTGGCAGAAGTTACAGTGGAAATATCATTGTATTTTTTGTCTGGTGATTCTATAAAGCTTTCTGATCTCTCTGCTCTTCTCTTTGAAGTCTTGATTTCACCTCTATTCAATCCATAACTTGTGATGCCTCGTTTGACCTGGGCCCACGGCATGTGATTGGAGTTGAAAGCAACACCAGCGTCACCATCACGAGATACCATGATGATTCCAGCAGTACCTCCAACACGTTGCTCCATGTACCTGAGTGCTGCGGCTGCTGCGTCTGCTGCCGTCTGACCAATTTGTAACATAAATAGAGCATACCTATTTCCAGGAACAAAAGGTCGAATTAGACAATGCTGCCTGACAATGAGAAACCAACAACGACACATTACAGCTGTACATTCAGTGCTAGGCATTAAATTTTTTCATCACTGATCACTGGGCTAGCAGAGCTGACAAGTAATTTAGACAACAGAAAATATAGATTGATGAACAGCTACATGTAATAGTCCAATGGCTTAGTGGTTCTCCCAGAGCCAATTTTTACTTTTTACTTTTTTAATTTTAATTTTAATTCTAATTTTTTAATTTTTTAATTTTTGCCCTTTTTAACTTTTTTTAATGAGCTAACTGCTAAGGTTGATCATTTATATTCTTTTAAAAGTTATCAGGACATCATTTGGGTTGAAAATAAATCTTGTCATGAGCAGAAAGGTGCTGCTCTCCCAACACAGGAAAAAAAACGGATTCCCACATTGGGAATTGTTGGGAATTTCCTTGCATTCCCAATTTGAGCACCAACGTTGGGATTTATTGTTGGGAATTTCCTTCTAATACCCAATAGAAAAACAAAATTCCCAACAAATTAACATTGGGAATTGGTGCCACGTTCCCAATTTCGTTCTCTCTGGGAATTGGATGGGAATTCGTTGGGAATTCAAGGAAATTCCCAATTTGGGAATCCGGTTTTTTTCCTGTGATGCTGTTATTTTCCCCTCAAATTCTCTAAAACTTAGTACTAGTTCTAAGGTAGTAAAGATTTAAACAAATAATTGTTGTTTCGTTCACCTTATAAAGTCCCACAATGAATATAAAAACTTGATCAAAACGACCCTCTGAGCTTTTATTTTAAAGGAGGCAGCACCAAAACCATCCAAAAATCATTCTTACTCTGAATTTTTTTTAAAAATAAGGTACTATTACCATTGGAACAGCTATCAAAATCTAACTTATAATATAATGAAGCTGGAAAACTTTTCATACCTGCATAGAGTAACCCTCAAGATAGATTCTCCATTACCAGTGGCTGAAGATGCACCAATATGATTATCAGCATATCCGCCACACCCTGCTATGGGAGAGTCACCTACTCGGCCTGGATGGACAGCAGTCAGACCGCCTGTAGATGTTGCACAGGCTACATTACCTTGGCAATCAACTGCAACTGCTCCAACCTTTAACATCAACAACAATTTCATTAGTAAACTTCCAATTTAATGTTAAATTGAAATTGAATTTGAATTTGAAAATGAAAATGACCACACCATATGCATCTTTAATGCTAAATAATATATACAATATGAGTGGCTGTGTCGTATGCGATATATAAACTCAAGGCGTAGCCTAGAGTTTTTATATCATATATAACATGGACACAAATATTGTATATTATTGCTTAACAAATGTCTAGCTTAGTTCCTTTGTGTTTCAATAAGATTTTCAAGATAAAAGTGAATCTGCCCAAGAAAATCCAAGTTTAAGCTTATTCAATATAATGAAAAGATGAGAGTATGTGGACCGGGTTCGAATCCCAGCGAGGTCGGAAATTAATTTTTCCGAATTTAATTCCAAGGGCTTTCGCCCGGAATAACCTCGTTCCCAAGCACTACAACTTACCTATATTATTCTCAATATAATGAACATGATTCTTAGTCATCAGAATTATAAACCTTTTCACAGTCAATATATATTTTGTGCTTCCCTCATGAATTATTAATGAGTTTGTTAATAGCCATAACAATATACATCATTAATATTCAACTATAAAAATCAGGGGTTGTGTTACGCTGTAAGATTAAGACAAATGTAGTACTTAATGTGCTCTGGAGATGGTGCTCTTAATTTATTTAGTTCAGTCAGCACACTAATATCAAGATTTTAGATGTTTCTGAAAGGTTTAATTTTTTCACAGTTTGGCCAGCGATGATGGAAATTTGAATTTAATTTTTAAAGTATAGATTAGGATAGATAGTCTAATGTAAAACGATACAGCAGTAGACATTTTTTGAAGTAATGCAAACAAACTTACATTAAGACAATTTTAGAAAAAATTACTTAGCTGTACATACCGTGTCATGAACTTCCTTCCCCCTTATTTCCTGAACCTGAAAAATAATAATAAATAGATATTAATAATATCCCAAACATTTACAATATATATTTTATATATTTAATTAAAATGGTGAATATATACTAACAGTAATATAGCTGTTTCAAAAAGGTTTGGTGAAAGTTTTGTTGCCTGTTGGTTGCATCATTCTTGAAAAGTACTCATATTCATATGTAAATAATGTCAGCAAAAGAAAATATACTGAAAAAATATGCAGACAATGTTCAGGAAAATTGCATATTGTTGTGACCTTCCGCTGATTGGATTTATTGCCCTGCAACAAAGTGCTTTTGGGCTTGGTATGTGAAATACAACAAAACTCATTTTGAAATAGCTGTTATATATCATAAATGAAGTATAATGATTAGTTGCATTTATTTTTAATCCTTAAATGGATTAAATGGACTAGATTTACACCCAGAGGTTATCTCAAGTGCAACATTGTTATAAAATAGCTTGAAATTCATATTTAATATGTATGTCTTGACAATAATATTTTGATCAGCAAACAATTATTCTACTTTTTGACACACTATGTTCACCACAATCCACTCTTTCTTTGTTTTTGTTATTATTTCTATCCAATCAAAAGCTGATCTTCTATCATTAGCTAATGAATCCAAAATTTTGATCCCTATTAGTGAATGGATATTTTCTGGAACCATACATAACCATAACCTTTGTTTTTGTTATTATTTCT